GATTAATTCCTTGTTTTTCACCGTCGCCGACTTGAAACCAAAATTCAGTCATTTCAAAATGACAGAAAAGCACTAAAAGTTAGTAAAGATCTCTCATTATCACCCAAATAAGAAGCTCATTGCATTGTTATCGCTACTGTATGTCCTAAAAATAGTTTTTTAAAACGAAACACAAGTATTTCTAAATCATTCTGGTTAGCGACGAGTCGTTCAGGATGCATTGAAACAAGCGTAACACAGCCATCACCACTGGATGTTCGTTGAGATGAGTGGGAGATCTGTGAACAGTTTTTATCTTTAATTCCTCCAAATCAGAGTTCGTTTCCCCAAGGGACCTGCACTATGAGTTCTCATTGGCTCTTAAAGGTATTTTCCTTTCTTCTGATTGGCTGATTGGCTGTTGTGATTACATTGATTTCGATATTTCAAAACTCAAACTCTCTAAATTATAATTTGAAAATTAACACTTCCGCTTTATTTTACAATTGAATCAACATGATTGAAGTGTTATATTTAACGGAACTTGGGAATGTCTCATCACATAGGTTCCACGAGGCAAATTTTTTCCGATAGAGGTTGCAATCTCACAGGCTGATTAACTTTTCTGAACCGCCTTCCCATGATCCTTTCAGTCGCTCCCGAGCTGAAATTGATGTGGAAGGGACTATGGCCATCTTCGTTTGCCTCGCAGCCAAGTCCGGTAACTGGCTCGTTACTTATGTTATAAACAGAGATCCCAGGCTTTATAACGTCGCCAATATATTCGTTAATAATCTGGCACTAACTAAAATCACTATGGCAACGATAGACATGCCTCTCTGGATAGCGAGCCTGTATGCGAGAACTTGGAATCTCGCCTAAGGAGGTTGGGGTGATAGATCAATTATGTCTACCTAGTTGTGGTCGCTATGGTAACGGAAAATTCAGACAAAAACCACTTAGGGAATAGAGTAAGAGGCTAGAAGTAAGTAAGATGTTGCATGAGGAGTAGAGAAAGCATTTCTATCATAAATAAGGCGACATTTAGAAAGCAAAACTAATCTGCAAGGCTGCATGCGAAAAAACAATCATTATGGCTTTAAGTTATTTACGGGCCCGAAGCCAAATATAAATCTCAGGAATAATGGCGTGGATCTTAAGTAAATAAAAGTCCTTTCTATTTCGCTTCTGTTTTTTTTTTATTATTGTTTCTTGACAATTTCTATCCCAACCTTCAATGTAAACGCAGCATCAGGAATTGTCTAGAAACGGGCCCTGGAAAAGGCATTCATCACATGACAGACTAAAACTGGAAAAAAGAAAAAACGCAGAAGACACTATCTTAGATTATGGTCAGTACTTAAATTTCAGCGAAACCGAATAAGCATAACTCATATACTTATTTCATTAAGATATTCTGAGGTTACAAGTCCAAATGTTCAACCTGACAAATTTTTTAAACGCTATAGTCAACCAATATCGCTCCAATAAAATGGGTATTGAATCCTTAAGTCGAATTAAACTTTATATGAAAGGATGTGGAAGTGCTGGAGAGAAGTAAGGTGTCGTAAGTAGTTTTAATAACCGTAACCATGAAGAAGCCAGTAAATTACGAAAGTTAAATGCATTTCTACTGACTTGGATCTTCGTTCTAGTGTTTCCCGCAAAATGCAAAAGGTTTGTTTGGCAACGTCCTATTCGTTGCGTTCTGTTACCTCCAACTAGTAGATGAGGGAGTATCTGGGAAGAATCGTTCTTAAATTCCCCCAAAATTTATTATTTTTTCAAAGTGATCCGTAGTTTATCTAAGACGTAAAGATAAAAGTCTGTCGGGTATAAGATTGATCCTGTGGGTGTAGGAGTGATCATGAAAATTAGGGAAAAGAGGAGAATGACAGACAAACTAACATTCTGATCACTAGTCAGGTACAGTCAGAGTCCAGATCCCTAATAGTTATCGAAAATAAAATTTGTATCAGTTGCAAAGAATTTCTTAATGAAAAACGAAAGGATATCTCGGATTTACATATTTTACGTCAACGAATTCAAACTAGCTCACTATGCGAGAGATACAAGAAAAGTGTCTCTTTTTTACAACAAAAGAAAAGCAACGAAACGTGTATTTGGGTTCATGGAAGTTAAAAATTTTTGGACATTTTATTTATGAAAAGAGTGAGTGGACCAGTAGCAAATATTAACCAATTTCATATGATACATTAATAATAGCCTGTATTTGTCACGAAAATGTGTACGCATATTTTTCCATGGATATTATCTCTTCCAAATTGTCTTTCCTTGTTCAAAACGCTAATATCAACAAGAGAGCAAACGTTAGTCTTACTTAGCTCCCTGAGAGTTTATTTCAAGTCTCTGCTACACGACCACTAGACTTAGCTGCTCAATTCTTGGAGGAAATACCACCTCGTATTTCGTTGGCAAAATCAACAGGGTAAAGTCGATGAGCCAAACGACACCGTCAATGAACTGTAGAACTATAAAATTTTCACGAGGAAGAGCGGCGGCTTTTAGTGCCGTTTCCAACACGTTGACTGTGAACACTGTTATACAAACTATTCCTGAAAAACTCAATAAGCTTGTATCATCTCCGCCCTACGAGTAAAAGGTTCAGATCATAGAATTACCGCCAAACTGTAAAGAAGAGGATTGAATAAAGGTGGTAGGTTTATAAAGAAACCTTGTTGCTGCGTCGGTGGGAGAGTGTCACAGGGTAATTTAGTATTATCAATTGAATTGATGACATAAATTGGCCACTGCAAAGAGGCTAACCTCAGCCTTTAAACTCTTTACGGTAGCCAATTTACGTTATCAACTCAGTTGATAACACTCAATTACCCTGCCAAGAAGAGGGTTTTTACGATATCTTCAACGCTTGAAACAAATCTCGTTAGTGCTTGGTATTCCTACGATCTAAAAGTACACGATGAAACTGGAAAACAGACTCTGAGCGCTCGACTGAGAATCACATCTATATTTGCAAATCCTTTTGTCAAAGTTAATTTTGAAACACATCCTTATCAAGATAACAGAGCCAGAATATAATCTTCGAAAAAGGCAATCACAAGCATTTTACAAATTTCATTGCTTGGATGAAGTAAACTGTAATTTTCTGAAAAAGTCGATCGCTTTTCCGGTCAAAGTTGTCTTTGTTATATTTATCATTAAGTTAAAAGTCCTTTTTTCCTATTACTCATAGAAATTTTAATTATTTGGAGAACACGACAAAAGTTTTTTAATTACTAGCCGGGGAATATTGATATAAAAACTTCTCAAGTGTTCTCTCAACATCCCACATAAGTTATTACCCCTAAAAACTGATAGAAAGTGTGGTATATTTCTTTTAAACTAATTCAATTTTCTATGGATTTACCGATGCAATAAACGATTGTTATTTTACCAGTCAGGGTGCTCGTATTTTTCTTTCAGTTACTCTGTAAAAGCTAATAATTTCCATACTGCAATCGGTTTCCGAATTGTTGGGAGCCAGAACAGATGTTTGTAGATGTTGGAGGCTTAATATGTGTATTTTCAAGAATAAAATGTACCAAAAGGTATTTTGTGATCAATTCCTCGATTGTTTACCGTCGCCGACTTAAAACCAAAAATATCTATCATTATCAGCCAAATAAGTGGCTGATGGTATCGTCGTTGCTGATGAGTTTCTTAAAGAGAGTCTTTCAAGACGATTAACACCTATTTTAAAATCATTCTGGTTAGCGACGAGTCGTTCAGGATGCACTGAAACGAGCATGACACAGCCATATCCACTGGATGTTCGTTTACATGAGTGTGAGTACCTCTAAATAATTTTTTTTAAGATTTGAATCCCCACGATTTTCTTAATGGAAAATGAAAAGAATTCTCTGATTTTCTTATTTTACGAGAAGGAATTCAAACCGGCTCATTCTGCGAGAGACACAGAAAAAGTAACTTTTTTCCCATAATCAATGAAAAACCACATAACTTGTATCTGGGTTCATCGGAGTTAACAAAATATTTTTGAACATTTCATTTATGAAAAGAGTAAGTGGACCAGTTGCGAATATTACCCTATTT